CTCATTTGAATCCAAGAATTTTTAAATTTTTACCCTGATTTTTTCACTCCCCCAGCCATTATTCAAAAGGACATTGTTTAATCTCCATGCGTTTGTATAGTTTCTGTAGGATTTGCTCATGTTGATTCCAACTTCATTCCATTATGATCTGATAAGATGCAAGGAATTGTTCAGTTTTTTTTTTGTATTTGCTAAGAGCTGCTTTGTGGTTGAGATACTCAAATTTTAGAACTATGACCTGAATGCAAATTATACCTGGTGGCTAAAATTTTAGAAGACTTTTCTGAAGTCTATCTAGAGATCAACTAGATTTGCAGCAACTGGATGCCACCAACTAGTGATCTACAGAGAGATCTGTCTGACTTAGGATTGCTGTGGGATAATATTCACCTACTATCAGGGACTGTTGCAAACAAAGGAACCAAGGGAAGACAGGATCCTCATTGACACCAAACACAAGGCCCTGCTCTGGGGCTCCTTGGCGGGCATGCATGGGGCAGGCAGCAATGGACCAGTGGGGAAGAAATCAGGAATTGCAGAGCCCTGCAGGCCACAGAGCTGCAGATTTTGTTCCTCTCTAGAAGAGGGAAGCCACCAACACGGGCTACACATTTGTCCAGAGATTCAGTTTGATTGTCCCTGGTGACTTCAGGAGTCCATAAATTAAAATAATGCTCACAGGCTGCTTATTGCAGTTTTCCAGTTCACTTTCTCAGTCTTGAATCCTCTCTTTGCCCTTTTCCTTTTATGGCCCCAAGAGGTTATTTGCTCTGTTGGAAGAAGTGCTAGTTGGTCTTTTGGGGTGGTGTGGCCTGCCTGCAATTAGAAGATGCCTGGTGAATGGCCAAGGAATAAAACATCTCCAGGTGATCCATGTACATGCAGGTACCTGGCTCCTTACATGGGGCAACCAATGCCTGGAGCCCCAACAAAGGTGGTCAGGTAGCTTCGTGTCTAAGTTCAGGTTATTCAGCCCCTCCCTGTCCTGAGGCTGGCAGAGGAGAGGGGTTGCCTGCAAAGTCCAGTATTCTTGAATCATTGAAGTTTTCATTCTTGGAGGGGATCAGGTAAATTTTTCAAAGGCCAGAGCATATCTCAGAGGGTCTGTCTGCATCCCCCCCAGAGGAGAAAAAGGTTTCTACACCATGGGGACATCTCAGGCTCCATTGCTCTTGACATGAGAATAACTACATAGGAAAACAGATTCTTTTAAAATTTCTCTCCAAATAAGTACAGACAGTTCCTGTTATGGGAGAAAACATGTCCCAAACAAGGGTCTGAGCCATTCTCAGAGAGAAGGGGGAGCAGTGAATTTCAGCAGGTGCCCATCAAAGGCATAGAGGTTTGTTTAGGAAAGTAGATAAATATTCAATGGGAGAGTTCTCAAGGGAGATGCCTTTGGGGTAAGGCAAGAAATAGGCATTCAGGGAAGAATGAGGATTATCTCCAGAAGGACGGGCAGCAACTCCTTGGTGTGGGGTGTTAATGTTTGCAGAAGGGTGCTGCTAGGGACTACACTAAAGTGGAGGCAGGGTGGAGCTACACAATTTTGTGCCAATTTTCCTTACACTTGTACTTTGCCCTCCTGTTGTAAGGGCATGGTCAAGGGTATGGGGCCAAGGACTTGTAACTCAGGAGCTGGAATTGTTTCTGGGTGCTTTTTGCATTTCAATTTCTCAGTGTTTCCTTTGAGACTCAGTCAGTATATCTCTTTATCCCAAATTCCTATCTCAGTCTCCAACTTACTAAGGTTCAACTTAAAACACTTCAACTTTACAATGATTCAAAAGCAATGTGCATTTAACAGAAACTGCACTTGGAATTTTGAATATGGATCTTTTTACCAGGCTAGTGATACCTAGTGACATCCTCTCTTGTGGTGCTGAGTAGTGACATGATCACTGCTGTTAGCAAGCCCCACGATCATGAGAGAAACTTCTGGCCCTCTACAGTGTGCTTATAATAAATTCCTTGAGATATCCAACACTTTATTATAAACTAGACTTTGTGTTAGATAATTTTACCCAACAATAAGCTAACAGAAGTGTGCTGAGTGTGTTCAAGATAGGCTGTGCTAAGTTACAGTGTTTGGTAGATAAGGTGTATTAAATGCATTTTCGATTTCTGTTATTTTTAAATTTATAATGGTCTGACTGGAATGTGACCCCTTTGTGGCCAAAGAAACTTGTACATGTAAGGGGCTTTCACCTACCTCTCCCCCTTCCCTTTCCCAAAGCAATGGAAGGTATTTCCTAAATGAACTGAAGATGGAAGTCAATGTGTAAAGTCTGTCCTCCAGGGCTCCCCCATTACACACACACACACACACACACACACACACACACAGTCCCCTAAGAACCCTGATGAAACTCCCAGGGATCTCAGGCTTTGTGTGAGACACTATAATGAGGAGTTCCCAGAAACAGCTCTGGCTGGGTTTGCTCTGTTTCTCTTGCTGCCCCAGTCTTAGCAGAGACACAGAGCTTCAGGGTACCACCGGACTCCATTGGAGGCTTCTCCTATTTGGTGGGAGGAAGAATGTCATAGATAACTTTGGAAATCTGGAGCTGACTGTGGAAACCCAGTCCAGGAAAATGCACCCCACATAAAACTTGCATGTAAAATTAGATGCTCTCTGAATGGCCCCTGAAGCCCGTTCATGCACAGTGAAAATGCACCACAGCTGCTGCAAATGCATCTCCATTAATGAAGCCATGTTCATCTTAGGTTAAGTGATTCTGTTGCTGAATAAACAGCATTTGGGTCACCATGTGAGTCAACCTCTCTTCTAAAGGCTGGGGGAGTGAACAGTGATCAGATAGATGAGGTCTCTGCAGTCATGAGTTTACCTTTTGGATGGAGGAGTGACAGTAAACAAGTATTCAAAGCCACATGATGATTTCAGACCCAGTCATTGTTCCAAAGGGATAAGTGAGATGAGTGCAAGGGCATCCCTCATGGAGAGACCCTTGGGAGGAGAGACCTCCTGGAGCAGATGGCACTGGAGTAGAGACTTCCAGGTTGAGAGGACTCCCTGTGAAGTGGGAGGGAAAACACTCAATAAGGATGAGGGAGAGTCAGGTGGCAATGAATCTGGGTGAGGAGCAGGGTGTAGGGAGATGCACCAAAGAGGGACACAGCCTAGTCCTGGTGAAAAACGACGAGTCAGGATGGAGCTGTGCTGTGCATACACAATGACCCTGGGGAAGGACGGGTGCCCCCCTCCCATCCACCCACAGCTGTGCCTGCCCTGCAGCCTTATTCTACTCTGATGGGTCAGCAGGCAACTGGCTTCTGCCTGGAAATGGCCCATTCTGGTCTGCATCTTCTCTCCTTGAGGGCAATGGCAGCAGCTCCCAGATCTGCAAGCTTCTCATGGCTGTGCACACAGGGACTTGCCAATGCCTAGTGCCCCATAAATAGTTGTTGAAAGAAAGCAGCCGCATCCTTGTGAGCCAGACCTCCGGCTGTGTTAGTGTTGGAATGATTTTCTGACCAGCCTAAGGGCAATCTCAGCTGAACACCCAGGGGCCACCTGAAAACCCCACTGTTGGGTAGGCGGTTTATTTGCAGTTGTGGTGTACAAATGTTTTAAACATGTACTTGTGCCAGGTGGTGAATTTTATAAACCAAATTATTAACTATGTAAACAATTAAATGTGTAAGTAAATAAACTCCCCATGCTGTTTGTGGCAGGGATTTCCTACAGTGAGAGATGAAAATCTGGCCCATGGCCTTTATCAAGACCCCACCTGGGGCTGGCCCTCTTCTCTCTCTTCCTCCCTCCCTCTCTCACCACACTCACACACATGCACACACCCTGATGGAGAGTACATTGTTCAGATGCACAGAGGACATCAAATCATTCAACAAGTCCTTGTCCCATTTACCAAACCTGGTCAGTCTTCCAGCTCTTTACCTTTGTTCAGAGGGTGGCCTGCTACCGTACATAGCTGCTTTGATATTCCATCTCCCTTTAGGATGCTGCTGATCTTCCAGAGGGACAATTATAGGTAGGTTTCCTGCCTTCTTTTTCTAGATTCCAGAAACACAAGGGGCTTTTCAAGTCTGAGCCCAGCAGCTCCTGCAGGGAGGAGTGCCCAGAATAATGGATGAGGAGCTTGGAGCTGGGTCTGGACCTGCCTCTTGCTGCCAGGACTCCTGAGGGCCACTGGAGGTGGTATCCAAGATCTTGTCTAAGGTGCCTGTCTGAGGACAGAAGCAGGTCATAGGTGGGAACCAAAGTCAGACAAAGAAGCAGCGAGGAGAGCCTGGACACCCCTTCCCTGGCTTGCCTTTAATTGGAGAGGGTAGGGGGACGGGGAGGGTAACTTGGCAAAGACTCCACACAGGTGTGGGTGCACATCCTGACTGATGGACCCTGAATGTCACCGTCAGCCCCCAGATATGAGGATCACAGGCAGTGTACATAGGCTCTTGGGACAACTACCAGGTGTAGAAATCCCAGGGTCCAGAGAGTTTACTGGGTAGTGTTTGGGTCAGAAATTCTGAAAGTATCCAAGCACCGCCAGCCACCCCTCCTCCCTGTGAGGTCTGGGAGAGACAAATTTACACACACAAGAGGGAGGGAGAAAGAGATTGCTTGCAGATCTGCCCATCCCAGAAACAGGAAGATGATCCTAGAATGGGTGCAGGTTTATTCACTGCCCACTCTGGGCCATGTATTGGTCCCATTTTTTGTTGAGGACATTTAGGCTCATCCTGCCTCAGGCCAATAGAACTATTAAGTAATGTATTTTTCCAGAATCATCCTTTCCCAACTTCAATATGATGTCTCCATAGTTGGAAAATGAAGTCTCTGTGTAAAAGTGAAAGGAAGAGGGATGACCTCAGGCCTCTAAGCCTTTGAAAACACTCACCTGTTCTTCAAAACTCATTGTGGCCTATTTACATGCAGTTAACATGATTTGATCAATTTTAATCCCCGATTCCTCCTCTTGCCCTCCCTCCCTTCCTCCCCCGATTTCCTTCCTCTACCCTACTGGGTGGAAAGCTTCATGAAAATGAATGTAATCCTTGCACAAAGCCCATACTAATCTCCTTTGTAATGTTCCAATTTTAGTGTATGTGCTGCTCAGGCAAGCACCAAAGTTTCATGTTTTAAAAAAACCTGCAGAAAGAAGTTACAGTGCCGAGCATGGTGGCGCACACCTGTAATCCCAGTGGCTTGGGACGCTGAGGCAGGAGGATGGAGAAATCAAAGCCAGCCTCAGAAAAAGCAAGGTGCTAAGCAATTCAGTGAGACCCTGTCTCTAAATAAAATACAAAATAGGGCTGGGGATGTGGCTCAGTGGTCCAGTGCCTGAGTTCAATCCCCTCCTCCCCCACAAAAAAAGAAGTTGAAGCTACAGTGGCAGAGTTATTTTGTATAACAAGAGTTTCAATTTTTGTTATTTTGTATAAAAATATTTCTATTTTCTGTGATAATAGTTTATCCATCTCTGAAGATACAAAAACTAATAAAGAGTGGTTAAGAGGAAATTAAAGGAAAAGAGAGAGAAATAAGGATTGTGAGCATTAATATGAGCTTGGTATGTGAGAAAAATTATAATTTCACAACAAAATGGAAATCTTTCATCAATTGGAAAAGCAGGAAGAAACACTTGCACTTCTATCAGACATTGCCTTTTGAAGCCTGTCAACATACCCACCATGGTCGGAAAGAAAACTGTTATGGCAAAAGATCATGTAGCAAGAACTACGGGTTAATCTTCAATGAAGCAAGTTAATCTTCAATGCAGCTTAGATGAAGACGCAGTCAGTGGGAATACCACACACCAGACACTAGAAGAGTTATGGGGTAAATAAAAATGAAAGGACGCAAGTCCTGGCCTCGATTTATTCATATATGAGTGGGGATATTAACATTGATATATAATTTTAGGTCTCCTTTTTTGAAAAAAAAAAACAAGCCTGCATTTTTGAGGTATAATTCCTACAAAATTCACCTATGGTCTAATTTGATATCTTTTAATACTATATATATATATTTTTTTTCAGAGCTGAAAATTGAACCCAGTGCCTTGCATGTTAGGCAAGTGCTCAACCCATTGAGCTTCCCCTCCAGCCCTACATTATTAATTTTAAAAAACTGTGGTAAGATACAGAAGACTTTCCCACTTTAACTGTTTTAAGCGTATAATTCAGTGACATTAATTACATTTGCATCACTGTGCAACCATCATGGCTATTTCTAGAACTTTTTCACTGTGTGAGATAGAAACCCTATGACCTCTAATTTTGCTAATTCAATCTGCAATACTCAATGATAGATGAACAGGAATAAATGAGCAAGAACCAGAGAAACAATCACTCAGCACTAACTCTCTGGTTATATTGCTCCCATCTTCAGCCTCTGGTAATCTTTAATCCATTATTTGTCACTATATATTTGATTATTCTAAATATTTCATGTTAAGTCCAACCATATAATATATATCCTTTGTGTCTGTTTAATTCCATTTGCATAATATTTTCAAGATTTATCCATGGAATTCAGTACATGTGTCAGAATTCCATTCGTTTTATGGCTGAGTAATATTCCATTTTCTAAATACACCACATTTGTGTGGTCCATCTGTTGCTGGACACTTCTCTCGTAGGTTGTTTCTATCCTTTGGGCTATTGTGAAGAAAGCTTCATTGGATATTGGTTTAAAATATTTGAGTTCCTGCTGTCATTTTTTTGGCAGTAGGAGTGGAATTGCTGAGCTATAGGGTAATTTTATGTTTAGTTCTTTGAAGAATACAAAAAACTTACGTTCCTGGTGATGATATACTAGGTATTTGGATCAACTGTCCCATCAAAGACAATTTAAATCTGGATGAAATATGTCTCAAAGTATTATTAAAAGTTTTCAAGAGCCAATCATGTAATATGAAACTGGTTGAGATCCTGGAAATAACAGAAGTTCAGAGTGAGCTTAACACTCAGGTATCCTTAGCAAGTCCAGAAAGATAGTTAGCTATGAGGTTGAACTGTTCTTCTGAAACCTCTGAGAACACAAGGATAAACCAAGGATGGGAAAAGAGAAGGGAAGGTACGAGACTGAGGACACAGTGAGGTCTAGGTTTAACTGAAGACACAGACAGAAGCAGTATCTGAAGAGAGAGTGAAGGACCCAGAATTTTCCAAAACAGATGAAAAAAAATTGATCATGAACCCAAGGTATCTTAATAAATCCCAAATAGGTTAATTAATAAGTAATAAATGAGATAAACAAATCTTAGGTATAATCCTAATAAAACTACAAAAAAAGAGAAAAATCTTTAAAAGAGGCATAATGGGAGGGAATAAAAGCAAATTTTCGAAGAAGCAAGTCGTGGACTGACTGACAGTGTCCCAAGAGCAACAGTGGAAGCCAAGAGAAAGTGACATGTATAAAGTCAATGTGATGAAAGAGAACTTCCAACCTGGAACCTTATGCCCAGAAAAAATATGCTTCAAAAATGGAATGAGAAAGTCTACTAATAAAACATTGGAAGAATGTATAGATGTTCATAGATAAGCGAAAATAAAGATTTTGTAGATAAGTGAAAACTGACAGCCTTTTCAGTAGAATGATATTAAAGAGAACTCTAAAGGCAACCTTCAAACACGTGGCAAGTGAGAGGCGCAAGACAGAACAGAGTACTCAAAATGATAAATATGCCTGAACCTTAAAACCAACTCTGTGAATATTAAAATATACAGTGACACACATTATACATGATATAGCCTATATGATTTCTGTGTTATATGGTGACAAAAAAATTTTACAGGAAAGAAAAGGTCTATTTTGGCTCATGGTTTCAGAGATTTCCATCTATGGTCATTTGGCCCGATGCTTTGGGTGTGTGTGGTGGGGCTGAATATTGTGGCGGTGAGTATGTGGTGGGGCAAAGCTGCGTACATGACGGCATCCGGAGAAACAAGAAAGATATCCCCTTCAAAGGCACATTCTGATTTCCTTACAGTAGGTCCCACCCCCTAAAATTCCCATCACCTCCCAATGACTCTACAGGATGGAGAACCAGTCTTCCACACCTAGACTTTGAAGGGCACTCCAGATCCATATCGTAACACCTCACCCCTGGTCCTGAGGGTTTGGTGCATCTTGCAATGCAAAATGCATTTAGTCCACCTCCAGGAGCCCCTGAAGTCTAAACTGTTTCAACCTTGCTGAAAACTCCAACTTCAAAGTCTCCTCTAAGACAAAAAGCAAACTCTTAACTGCAAACTCCTATGAAAATCAGAAGCAAGTTACATAATTCCAACATAAAATGGTGAGACAGTCACAGGGTAAACATTCCCATTCAGAAAGGGAAGAACAGGGACATAAAGGAGAGATGGGACCAAGCAGGGCAAACATTAAGTCCTGTAGTTACATGTCTGACATCTTGGGTTCATGATGGCATGAAATGAGCTCCAAAAAGCGTGGGTAGCCCTGCCCCTAGGTCTTGAGGGCTGCGGCCCATGTGGCCCTCTCCCGGGCTGGCTGTCTTCACTGTCTGTGGCTTCACTCAGAAGGAATTGCACAGGTCTACCATCTCTGAATTCCTCTAGCCTCCATTGCAACTTCAGCTTTATTCGCAGAGATTTACAAGTTGACTACTAAGGGACTTCTTGCAAGAACTTCATCTCTACCACACACTGCCTGAACCCTCAGGCCTTCCTTTGGAATCCTGGTGGAAGTCTCTATGATCCTGTAACTCTTGAATTCTGCAGACCTGCAAAACGAGCATGACATAGATAATGCCAGCTGCTTCTGCTGCTCACTCAAACAGCAGCTGTGCCTGCTTGGACCATAGCTGCAGCGGGCTCTGAGAGGCTGCTGGATGACATGAGGAAACAACTCCCTACATGGAGCTGGGTGAATAGGGAGCTCTGGTACTCTTTTCTCAAAGCAAAGTCTTTGAAATGGGTTTACACTCCTATACCCTTAAACCTGTGATGGGTGGGTGGGTGGGGGTCTTGCTAAATACTGAAATGCACTCAAGCCATATTTTCTGTACACAAGTTTTTGCTGAAAGAACACAAATGGCATCAATTCGAGTTCTCAGTAGAGTCCCCATTTCCATCTGAAACCTCATGAACATGGCCTTTACTGCCTACATTCCTTTAAGAATAGGAATAGTCTTCTTTTCCCATTAGAATTGCCCAGTAAGCTCTATGTACAGCATTCTAGGTGTTATCCACCTGTTTCTTCAAACTTCCAAATATCTCCCTCAAACCAATTCCAAAAGCTTATGAATAATATTGTCAAATATATTCACAGCAACGACCTTTCTTTTGGGTACCAATTTTCTGTGTTAGTCAGATTTCCATTGCTGTGACAAAATGCCTGAGACAATCAACTTAAAAGCAATGTTTATTTTGGTTCACTGTTTCAGTTTACGGTCGCTTGATCCCATCACTTTAGCCCTATAAAAAGGCCCCATATCAGAGGGGAGAGCTTGTGGCAAAGCAAAACTGCTCACATTGTGGTGGCTAGGAAGCAACAAAAGAGAGAAAGGGGATGGAGTCCCAACATTCCCTTTAAAGCTACATTCCCAATAACCTAACTTCCTTCCACTAGGGCCCAACCTCTAAAAGTTTCCACCACATCCCAATAGTTTCACAGGTTGGTGGTCAGGTTGGTTGTAAAACATGAGAGTTTGAGGGACATTCCAGAACCAAAGTATTAGAGTTTCCAAGCAACATGCTTACCTCGCATGTGTGAGGCACTGGGTTCAATTCTCAGCACTGCATATAAATAAGTGAATAAAATAAAGGTCCATCAACAACTAAAAAACATATTTAAAAAAATACTTTTTCCAAATATATATATATATTTTTTTGAGAGAGAGAGAGAGAGAGAGAGAGAGAGAGAGAATTTTTTAATATTTATTTTTTAGTTCTCGGCGGACACAACATCTTTGTTTGTATGTGGTGCTGAGGATGGAACCCGGGCCACTCGCATGCCAGGCGAGCACGCTACCGCTTGAGCCACATCCCCAGCCCCCAAACATATATTACTTTTATGATTACAGTATTGACTCTGCATATATAGAGCCACAAGGCTTCTATTAATTTCATAGGACTGAAATGAATCAGAATATCTACTCT